TCGAACGGAGAGGAACCAACCACGACGAGAACAATAGAAGCAACACGAAGAACAAACGGCATAGCAAAAATCTGAGAAGGTGAAAAGCCAGATCTAGCGCAGAGTCTTCAATGAGTTGAGAAGCCACACTAAAGATCCAAAGGATCCGGATCCAACGAACTTAAAAACACTTAGATCTGGCCAGATGTGGAGGAAAAACAGCTGAGCACCATAAACTTCTTCAACCATTGAGAACTAAGCAAGAGGAACTGAACAGAAACAAAGCAAAGAAGAAAACTCAAAGGAAACCCGAGCTCCATGGCTGAAGAACCGGCGAAGCCGACAAGCAAAAACCAGAGGCGGCGAGACTTTTAGAGAGAAGCGAGATAAATTAGGTTAGAGGTTGAGTTTAGGGGTTAATAACAAAATTATTTTAAAATTTTCATAATATGCGAAAACTAGTAGGGGTTAGCTCACAAATTCTAAAAATAGATAAATTTTGAGATTTTTCTAACTTATTGAATGGAATGTAACTAAAACAAAAATTAATTGATTCGGGCATTTTTTACTGTAAAAGAGTATTTAAGAAAGTCTAATAACATATTATTTTAGTTTTTACAAAATATGCATAATATTTCAATTCATTTTCACTTTAGATGAATTATATTCCAATCATTAATTAACTCAAAATTTGTTAGTTTTGCCAATCTTTATGGGCTAACACCTACAAGTTTTGACAAATTTTGAAAAAAATTGGAATAATGTGTTATTAGTCTTTCTTAGATACTATTTTCCTATGAAAATGGTAAGATCAATTTATTTTCACTTTAGACACCTTCTAATCATTAATTTAGAAAAACCTCGAAATACATTAATTTTGCCAATAGTAGTGGGCTAATACCTACGAGTTTTGACAAATTTCGAAAAAAATAGAATAACATGTTATTAGTCTTTGTTAGATTAAATTTTACAATGAAAACTGATTGGATCACTTTATTTTTCACTTTAGACACCTTCCCCAATCATTAATCAATAAAAATCTCAAAATTAATCAGTTTTACTAGTATTTGTGTGTTAACACCTACGAGTTTTGACAAATTTTGAAAAAAATAGAATAATTTGTTATTTGTCTTTCTTAGATACTCTTTTACAATGAAAAATGTTTGGATCAATTTATTGTCATTTTCGACACTTTCCAATCAATAATTAAGAAAAACATCAACATTCATCAATTTTACCAATATTTGTTGGCTAACACCCAAGAGTTTTGACAAATTTTGAAAAAATGGAATAATATGTTATTAATCTTTCTTATGTACTCTTTTACTATGAAAAATTGTTGGATCAATTTATTTTCACTTTAGACATTTTCTAATCATTAATTTAGAAAAACCTCAAAATTTATCAATTTTGCCAGTATTTAAGGGCTAAGACCTACAAGTTTTTACAAATTTTGAAAAAAAATAAGAATATTTTATTATTTTTTATTAAATACTCTTTTACTATAAAAATAGTTTGATCAATTTATCTTCACTTTAGACACCTTCCAATAATTAATTTAGATAACCTCAAAATTCATCAATTTTACCAATATTTGTGTGCTAACACCTACAAATTTTTACAAATTTTGAAAAAATAAAAGAATATGTTATTTATCTTTCTTAAATACTCTTTTACAATGAAAAATGGTTGGATCAATTTATTTTCACTTTCAACACCTTCCAATCAATAATTAAGAAAAACATCAAAATTCATCAAGTTTGCCAATATTTGTGAGCTAACATCTACAAGTTTTTACAAATTTTTTAAAAATTGAAATAATATGTTATTAATTTTTCTTAGATACTCTTTTACTATGAAAAATAGTTGGATCAAAATATTTTCACTTTAGACATCTTACAATCATTAATTTAGAAAAAATCACAAAATTCATCAATTTTACCAATATTTGTGTGCTAACACCTACGAGTTTTTACAAATTTTGAAAAAATAGAATAATATGTAATTTTCTTTCTTATATAATCTTTTACAATGAAAAATGGTTGGATCAATTTATTTTCACTTTGGACACCTTCCAATCATTAATTTAGAAAAACCTCAAAATTCATCAATTTTGCCAGTATTTGTGGGCTAAACCTACGAGTTTTGACAAATTTTGAAACAATATGAATAATATGTTATTAGTCTTTGTTAGATACTATTTTACAATTAAAAAAATTTTGTATCAATATATTTTCACTTTAGACACCTTCCAATCATTAATTTAGAAAAACCTCAAAATTCATCAATTTTACCAATATTTGTGTGCTAACACCTACGAGTTTTTACAAATTTTGAAAAAAATGAATAATATGTTATTAGTCTTTGTTAGATAATATTTTAAAATTAAAAAATGTTTGGATCAATATATTTTCACTTTGGACACCTTCCAATCATTAATTTAGAAAAACCTCAAAATTCATCAATTTTACCAATATTTGTGTGCTAACACCTACGAGTTTTTACAAATTTTTAAAAAATTAGAATAATTTGTTATTTGTCTTTCCTAGATACTTTTTTACAATGAAAAATGGTTGGATCAATTTATTTTCACTTTGGACACCTTTCAATCATTAATTTAGAAAAACCTCAATATTCATCAATTTTGCATGTATTTGTAGGCACCTACGAGTTTTGACAATTTTTGAAAAAAATTGAATAATATGTTATTAGTCTTTGTTAGATACAATTTTACAATTAAAAAATGTTTGGACACCTTTCAATCATTAATTTAGAAAAACCTCAATATTCATCAATTTTGCCTATATTTGAAGGCACCTACGAGTTTTGACAATTTTTGAAAAAATTTGAATAATATGTTATTAGTCTTTGTTAGATACAATTTTACAATTAAAAAATGTTTGGATCAATTTAGTTTCTTTTTGGACACCTTACAATCATTAATTAAGAAAAATCTCAAAATTCATTAGTTTTACTAGTATTTGTGTGCTAACACCTACGAGTTTTGACAAATTTTGAAAAATTTAGAATAATTTTTTATTTGTCTTTCTTAGATACTCTTTTACTATGAAAAATGGTTGGATCAATTTATTTTCACTTTGGACATCTTCCAATTATTAATTGAGAAAACCCTTAAAATTCATCAATTTTGCCAATATTTGTGGGCTAACAGCTACGAGTTTTGACAAATTTTGAAAAATTGGAATAATGTGATATTAGTTTTTCTTATATAATTTTTTATTATGAAAGATTGTTGGATCAGTTTATTTTCACTTTAGACACCTTCCAATCATTAATTTAGAAAAACCTCAAAATTCATCAATTTTACTAATATTTGTTGGCTAACACATACGAATTTTGACAAATTTTGAAAAAAATGGATTAAGATGTTATTAGTATTTGGGTGAGTTGGTTTAATATTACTAAAATTTTTCATAATTTGAAAACTAACCCTGGTTTTTAAAATTTTGAAAACTAACTTTTTTAATAAGTGAAAAGACAATAAAACCATTATCATTTTTCTTTTAATAATGAAAAAAGTTTTATTTAATTAAGATATATATTGAACTTAGATATATAAGACATATATTATTAAATTTAGATATATATATATATTTTCGAAAACTAGTTAAGATATTTTTTAATGACTATTTAAAGAAAACACATGTTATTTCATAAATATGAATCAAACCTATAAATAGATACATATAAATATCATTTTAGAATAAAGAAAAACTCACACTTCATTTTTACAAAAAATGATGGAATGTGTTAAAGTTAACTCATTTTCTATATTTATGAATGTTAAATTTCAAATAAGATATTTTAAATATCTTTTGTTTTCTTGTTGTATATTTTATATAAGATATTATATCCCAAGCTGAAGTTTTTTTTCTCTTTTATTGTTATATAAATAAAAATAATTGTTTAGAATTATCATTAGAATAATAGATTTTTTTTTACAAATTAAATAATTTTTAAATAAGATAAACGAATTTTAAAATAATTTTAATATCTAGAAAAAATTAAGGGTATTTAGTAACTTTGAATATTAGAAAAATTAGTTTTCCAACAATTTTTAAAAGGGGTTAGTTTTCAAAATATGATTAGTTTAGGTAATATTGGTCCAAATTTCCTCTTAGTATTTCTTAGATACTCTTTTAATATTAAAAATGGTTTAATCAATTTATTTTCACTTGAGACACATTCTAATCATTAATTTAGAAAAACCTCAATTTTGCTAATATTTGTTAACTAACACCTACGAGTTTTGATAAATTTTGAAAAATTAGAAATAATATGTTATTAGTCTTTCTTAGATATTATTTTACAATGAAAAATGTTTGGATCATTTTATTTTCACGTTGGACACCTTTCAATCATTAATTTAGAAAAACCTCAAAATTTATCAATTTTGCTAGTATTTGTGGGCTAACACCTACGAGTTTTGACAAATTTTGAAAAAATAGAAATAATATGTTATTAGTCTTTCTTAGATACTCCTTTACAATGAAAAATAGTTGGATCAATTTATTTTCACTTTCGACACCTTCCAATCAATAATTAAGAAAAACCTCAATATTTATCAATTTTACCAATACTTGTGGGCTAACACCCACAAGTTTTGACAAATTTTGAAAAAATGGAATAATATGTTATTAGTCTTTCTTAGATACTCTTTTACTATGAAAAAAGTTTGAGTCAATTTATTTTCACTTTGGACACCTTCAAATCATTAATTTAGAAAAACCTCAAAATTCATCAATTTTGTGGGGTAACACCTACAAGTTTTTACAAATTTTGAAAAAATTGGAATAATATGTTATTATTTTTATACTCTTTTACAATAAAAAATGGTTGGATCAATTTATTTTCACTTTGGACACCTTCCAATCATTAATTAAGAAAAACCTCAAAATTTATCAATTTTGCCAATATTTGTGGGCTAACACCTACGAGTTTTGACAAATTTTAAAAAATTAGAAATAATATGTTATTAGTCTTTCTTAGATACTATTTTACAATAAAAATTTTTGGATCAATTTATTTTCACGTTGGACACCTTTCAATCATTAATTTAGAAAAACCTCAAAATTTATCGATTTTGTCAGTATTTGTGGGCTAACACCTACGAGTTTTGACAAATTTTGAAAAATTAGAAATAATGTGTTATTAGTCTTTCTTAGATACTCTTTTACAATGAAAAATAGTTGGGTCAATTTATTTTCACTTTCGACACCTTAGAATCAATAATTAAGAAAAATCTCAAAATTCATCAATTTTGCCAATATTTGTGGGCTAACACCTACAAGTTTTGACAAATTTTGAAAAAATATATGTTATTAGTCTTTCTTAGATACTCTTTTACTATGAAAAATGGTTGAATCAATTTATTTTCACTTTGGACACCTTCAAATCATTAATTTAGAAAAACCTCAATATTCATCAATTTTGCCAATATTTGTACGCTAACACCTACAAGTTTTTACAAATTTTGAAAAAATTGGAATAATATGTTATTATTTTTTATACTGTTTTACAATAAAAAATGGTTGGATCAATTTATTTTCACTTTGGACACCTTCCAATCATTTATTAAGAAAAATCTCAAAATTTATTAATTTTGCCAATATTTTGTGGGCTAACACCTACGAGTTTTGAAATTTTTTGAAAAAATGGAATAATATGTTATTACTCTTTCTTAGATACTCTTTTACTTTGAAAAATTGTTGGATCAATTTATTTTCACTTTGGACACCTTCAAATCATTAATTTAGAAAAACCTCAATATTCATCAATTTTGCCAATATTTGTAGGCTAACACCTACAAGTTTTTACAAATTTTGAAAAAATTGGAATAATATGTTATTATTTTTTATACTATTTTACAATAAAAAATGGTTGGATTAATTTATTTTCACTTTGGACACCTTCCAATCATTTATTAAGAAAAATCTCAAAATTTATCAATTTTGCCAATATTTTGTGGGCTAACACCTACGAGTTTTGACAAATTTTGAAAAAATGGAATAATATGTTACTACTCTTTCTTGTATACTCTTTTACTTTGAAAAATTGTTGGATCAATTTATTTTCACTTTAGATATCTTCAAATCATTAACTTAGAAAAACCTCAAAATGCATCAAATTTGCCAATATTTGTGGGCTAACACATATAATATTTTTTAAATTTTTTTAAAATTGAAATAATATGTTATTATTTTTTCGTATATACTATTTTACTATGAAAAATAGTTGGATCAAAATATTTTCACTGTAGACACCTTTCAATCATTAATTTAGAAAAACCTCAAAATTCATCAATTTTACCAATATTTGTGTGCTAACACCTACGAGTTTTTACAATTTTTTTAAAAAATAGAATAATATGTAATTTGTCTTTCTTAGATATTCTTTTACAGTGAAAAATGGTTGGATCAATTTATTTTCACTTTGGATACCTTCCAATCATTAATTTAGAAAAACCTCAAAATTCATCAATTTTGCCAGTATTTGTGGACTAACACGTACGAGTTTTGAAAAATTTTGAAAAAAATTGAATAATATGTTATTAGTATTTGTTAGATACTACTCTCTCTGTCCCATAATATAAGATGTTTTAGCTTCTAAATTTTGTCCGACAATATAAGCATTTTTGACATTTCAATGCACTTTTACTTTATGGAAAATTGTGTGACCACTTATATCTTGCTGTTGTTTTTTATGATTGGTTGAATTATATTTAATCTGTATACTAAGTGATACTTTTTTAAAGCAAAATAATTTTCTTGATTCTTGTGTTTAAGTTAAAACAACTTATAATATGGGACAGATGGAGTATTTTACAATTAAAAAATGTTTGGATCAATTTATTTTCACTTTGGACACCTTCCAATCATTAATTAAGAAAAATCTCAAAATTCATCAGTTTTACTAGTATTTGTGTGCTAACACCTACAAGTTTTTACAAATTTTGAAAAAAATAGAATAATTTGTTATTTGTCTTTCTTAGATACTATTTTACAATGAAAAATGTTTGGATCAATTTATTTTCACTTTGGACACCTTTCAATCATTAATTAAGAAAAATCTCAAAATTCATCAGTTTTACTAGTATTTGTGTGCTAACACCTACGAGTTTTTACAAATTTTGAAAAAATTAGAATAATTTGTTATTTGTCTTTCTTAGATACTCTTTTACAATGAAAAATGGTTGGATCAATTTATTTTCACTTTGGACACCTTCCAATCATTAATTTAGAAAAACCTCAAAATTCATCAATTTTGCCAGTATTTGTGGGCTAACACCTACGAGTTTTGACAAATTTTGAAAAAAAATTGAATAATATGATATTAGTTTTTCTTATATACTTTTTTTTATTTTGAAAGATTGTTGGATCAGTTTATTTTCACTTTAGACACCTTCCAATCATTAATTTAGAAAAACCTCAAAATTCATCAATTTTGCAAACTTACGGATTTTTACAAATTTTGAAAAAATTGGATTAATATGTTATTAGTATTTCTTAGATATTTTTTTAATTTGAAAAATGGTTGAATCAATTTATTTTTACTTTGAGATGTTTGTATGATGACGTACATTCCTCTCCTTCTGAATGAGATAGATAGTGGCAAAGCCGTCCCTGAGTCTAGGTGGGCCACAAGCTTGGAAAATAAAAAAGGTCAATTTATTCTATTAAAAATAATTAAAATACAAAAAGTTACGTTTTGAGGCTATCTACATTCGAACTAGTGAAACTTTGGAAGATAGACACTCACGTTAGCCACTAGACTAAAGGTTGGAAAATCAGAGCCGAAATATAGCTATATTAAAACAGGCCGCAAGCTCCTGCTTGCTTTGCTTGGCCTCAGGGCCGGCTCTGGATAGTAGCGTGAAAAAGGATTCTCATGATTATGTTGAGGTTCTTTTCCTGATTAGGCTTAACTATCCAGCGTAACAAGTCTTCAAACAGAGGAGGAGGCGAGAGATTTGCTGCCACTGTATAAGACAACCAAATTTCTGCACTGAAAGGACAGTCAAAGAACAGATGTTGCCTATTCTCATTTTGCACATTACACAGCAAGCATAGAGAAGAAACTGAGAGCCCCCACCTAATAAGTCTATCCCTTGTTATCATTTGATTCCTTGCCACCACCCAACACCCGAAAGCGTGTCTCGGAATATGATCCTTAAACCAGACCGCCTTGTGCCAGTATATTGTCTCACTCCTTGGATGAATCGTATCCCACATGAGTGAAGCCGAGAAAGTAGGAGACGGAGGTTTGTTAGCAGTTTGCCACAAATAAACATCCTCACACTCACTATCTCTTATAGAGTCCACATGAGGAAGACACTGCCTCAGAAGTGACAGCACCAGATTTCTACTCCTACTCGATGCCAACCACCACTGTCCCTCATGGATAGCGTCTACGGAAGTTTTCGAGCTTCTTCTCCTGCAATCTCAATGAGAGGACCCAACCCTGTCCAATTGTCATTCCAGAAACTTGTTGTATTACCTGATCCAACATCACACATCATAAAAGGGCGAGTGAGAAGGCGTAATTTGCAAAGTTGTTTCCAGATCCAACTTCCCCAGCTATTTGCAAAGTTACACCACGTTGTTGCTTATAAGTGGGTTATGCGAACGATCGATAAGGGTTATAGTGAGTGTGTTTGAGACTTTGAGTTATTGAGAAGATTAAGCAAAATAGTTGTCACCCGGCAGCAAGTAAGGTAAGAAGAGCTTCTGTCTGAATGACACAAATTCAAAAGCTTCCGGCAATATCATGCGAAATAAAATAAAAAGCTTTGGCTTTTATTCGATCGCTCGCGAACGCTGCCCGATCGTGCATCATCTCCAATATCTCAGATCTCTTTACAACAAAAATAAAATAAAAAATCTTGATGATATCCAATCTCCGATCGCATTTGATTTACAGAGGCCATCTCTGGAATAAAAGATGGGTTTCGATCAAGGGAAGGCGGGAGAAGACACACCCCTTCTGGGCAAGGGAAGACCATTGTCGAGCCAATTCAAGACCTTCGCCAATGTCTTCATAGCGATCGTCGGGGCCGGTGTTCTGGGTCTGCCGTACGCTTTCAAGCGAACCGGATGGCTCATGGGCGTGCTCACGCTCTTGTCCGTCGCCGCTTTGATCAACCACTCCATGATGCTTCTCGTTCACATCCGCCGCAAGCTCGGTGTCGCAGATATCGGCTCCTTTGGGGACCTTGGATTCGCCGTCTGTGGCCCACTTGGGAGGTTCGTCGTTGACATTCTTATAATTTTGTCTCAGGCAGGCTTCTGTGTCGGATATCTCATCTTTATCGGCACTAGTTTAGCTAATCTCTCCACGAACCACCAAAATGTTAGCATGAGCCACTTGATGTCTGTGTCCCCTAAGAGTCTGTACATATGGGGATGCTTCCCGTTTCAGCTGGGCTTGAATTCCATCAAGACGCTCACTCACCTGGCGCCTCTGAGCATATTCGCCGATGTGGTCGATCTGGGCGCAATGGCGGTGGTGATTGTGGAGGACGTGAAGATTACAGTGGAGCAAAGGCCTGACGTGGTTGCCTTTGGGGGCATGTCGGTTTTCTTCTATGGGATGGGAGTGGCGCTTTACGCCTTTGAAGGTGTGGGAATGGTTTTGCCTCTGGAGTCGGAGATGAAAGACAAGGACAAGTTTGGCAAAGTGTTGGCACTCAGCATGCTATTCATAGCGGTCGTATACGGAGCTTTCGGTGTGTTAGGCTACATGGCTTTTGGGGAGGAGACCATGGACATCATCACGGCCAACTTGGGGGGTGGAGTGGTGAGCAGCCTCGTCCAGCTGGGGCTCTGCATCAACCTCTTCTTCACCTTCCCACTGATGATGAACCCTGTGTTTGAGATCGTTGAGAGACGTTTCTGGAGAGGTGTCTACTGTGTGTGGCTCAGATGGCTCCTCGTCTTAGCAGTGACGCTGGTGGCTCTCCTCGTGCCCAACTTTGCAGATTTTTTGTCATTGGTGGGCAGCAGCGTCTGCTGTGCCTTGGGCTTCGTCTTGCCTGCTCTGTTCCATCTGATGGTCTTCAAGGACGAGTTAGGTTGGAAGCAACGTGCTTTGGACGCAGGGATGGTGTTACTGGGCCTCGTTCTTGCTGTCTCAGGTACTTGGAGTTCCCTGAGCGAGATCTTCAACTGAAAAACCAGACGTGTCTTGTATTTGTAGCATTGTAGGTAGGTGAAAGAGAGGATTTTCTTTTCTGCCCATTTATTTTGACTCTTCTTCTGTTGGAATCTTTCTCTACTCTTTGAATGATTTTTTTTTATTGTTATAATCGTGCCAGTACAGTTACTATTACAGTCTTTGATACTTTTACAGTGTTGTTTGACTTGGTTAATATTTCAACTATGACTCGTCGTTTCATTTGGCCAACGCAACTTATTGCTAAACCAAACAAGAACTCCTTTTACACAACACGTTTGAACTTTGTCACGACTTAGGTTAGAGGAGAAGCTGCCACATGGCACATGTTACCCAACACAGGCCACGTATATCAAGTCAAAAATGTGGAAGAGAGGAGAGAGAAAAAAGAAAATGGCCGACACAGGCAAAGGAAGCTCAGGCGCTAGCTGCAACGATCTCTGTGGCTGCCCTGCTCCGTGTCCCGGTGGCGAATCCTGCAGGTAGATCCTCTATATGTTCCATGGATGTTGTGTTTTGATCTTAAAACGTGGTTCCATTTCATTTAGGTGCAGGATGAGCGAAGCATCTGGTGGGGATCAAGTACACAACATGTGCCCGTGTGGGGAGCACTGCAGCTGCAACCCTTGCACCTGCTCCAAGAACCAGACATCCGCCAAGGGCAAGGCCTTGTGCACTTGTGGTGAGGGCTGCACCTGCGCCACTTGCGCTGCTTAGACCATGTCTGTAGCATACTTGTATAATAGGTACGAGCTAGTCAATTAGGTCCCCAGTCTCTGAAATAAAAACTGTGTTTGTTATGTCCAAGTTCAACAAAATAAAAACTGTGTTTGCTTAGCTCCTGCTCTTGGTTCTAAAGTCTAAACAAAGACAAAGGAAACATATCTTGGGAATGGGTGCGTGATGTTAGTATCCGGAAAAGCAAGATAAGAGTGCAACCCAAGCACTGGCTTATCAAAACATCATCTCGTTTACGACAAACGTTTTACTCCTGCAGCAACCTTCAAAATATTAAAGAGCTTCTTTGATGTACTCAAGGTGGACATGGAAACGCCAGCCAAATCCAACTCCTCAGGTCCTGCTAAAATGCAACCACGAATCTAAAGTTGAACTAGTGAAGACGATAACAAGTCTTGAAACAATCCAGCTGTGACTGTGACAGGAAGTGAAAATCTGTCGTTTTCCAGCGTAATTCTTTGCATTGGAGTCTAAAACTTAAATTTTTGGGTTCTGTGTGGAAGTAGGACTATCACAGAGGTCTATTTTTGTTTATTCTTCTTTTATTATAGCTTCTAACTAGAAGCAATATGCACAGAGAGGATTATTATAAATACATACACAGATGATTGAACAATGAATGATACAGAATTACAACACCTGTAGTTGTCTCTATGTATATACTAATTGCCGTTTTGGTGTTTATCACCATAAGAGTATGAACTTATATACGAAACAAAACCGGTTCAAAGAATGTCTCATGTGAAATATTGAAGTATCACACACACGACAGGGGAAAGAGAGAGTACACACAAGTTACATGAATTCCAGTACTTGTGATCTACTATATTCCCGGTTCCGTAAGCAGCACATTAGATGCAGACATAATTAGTTGGTTGCAGATATCATATGAATAAGCTGATAAGATATTGTTAGACAGAACCACTCTAGGATTGCAGGAGTCTTTTTAAATCTCAAGGCTACTCATAGAATCTTTCCACCTATACCTACAGATTATGATATTGGGTTCTATTTTCTGTTAGAGAATATGATATTGGCTCTTGGATGCTAATAATAAGTAATATCTACGACCTTGTATAGTTTCACTTGGATGTGATTGGTTGCATCACATTTCGTCTGTGGCACGTAGCAATGTTTCTGAAAGAAATTCGAATGCAAAAGATAGATACACACAAAAGGAGAGACGTGTAATGTAAAGTGGGTCAGACTCAGTGGTGATGAGGAGTACAGGAGTGGAGAAGAGAGATTGGTTTGGGGAGGCGGTTGGCAGTGAGATTGAAGGAGCAGATGATCCTTGTATGGAACTTGGAGGTGACGAGTCGGCCGAGAATGTAAGCTTTAGAACGTAGGACGAGAGTCAGGTTGAGGGGCAGGGAGATGGTGTCGAGATGGAAAGAGACACCGCCGTAGAGGGGAACCTGATGGCCGTGCACCACCGTGACTATGCTCCTTCCGCTCTTCCTACCCACCGTGAACTTGTCCATCTCACCGGAGGAGAGGAGAAGGTTGGAATAGTGGAGGAGGAGAGGGGAAGCAGTGACGTGGACGGCGAAGAAGGTTGACGGGTTCCGGTAGAAGATCCTGACCGTGGAATTAAGAGACAGCATATCCGTGGGAACTCCGCTCAGATCGTTCCCTGCCTGCACGTTCAAGTTCCTCACCAGCATCCCCTGCAAATTGCTCACAATCTGTCACATTCCAACCAAATCGAATGCACACTTGTCCTAGACAAGAAGAGAAGGTGCTGAAACATAAATTATTATATTAATTTTCAATTGTTGGCCTTGTTTCTTTTATCAAGGAAAGTGAACCAAACACCGATCCACTAGACGAGTCGACTCTACTCTTTAACTCTTAACTCAGCCCGAGTCAACCGAATGAAGAATGAAGAATTAAGTGCTTACCTTTACCACAACTTTAGGAGGGTAGGATTTGCTAGCACCCCAGAGTATGAGAGAGAAGATTGTGAACAAGAGGAGCAGGGAGAGGAGCAAGCAGGAGTAGAGGCGCACATTCCGAAAGGGGTCGTCATCTCCGCCGTCCGTTTCTTCATCTATGGCGCTGTTGATGTATCGGCGGCGTCCGCTTGCTTCGCGGATGGACTTGTAGGAGAGGAGGGCACGGTCGGAGAAGCGAGAGGTGGAGGACTCGCGGGAGTGATGGATGGGTGAGCCGTGGTAGTAATGTGGGTGCGAGGGCGAGCCCATCGGACTGCAACCCGACCCGAATGACATCTTCTCGACGTCGTGGTTGGAGGGGCTCTGTACGTAGTAGAGAGGTCTAATCGCCGAGCGCGGAGGAGAGCGCGGCGGCCATGACAAAGCCGCGTCGATGCTAGTGGCCTCCGAGTCCGTCTTGGCATGCATGTCTCTTTTCGCAAGGAAGGAAGCAGCGAGCGAAGCAATAAAACAGAGATGCCTATTGCTAGTGCCTGGTGCCGTGTTTGGCTTCTTTCTTGGAACGTTAGACGCAGAAATGGTCTTGGGAGAGTGTGCAATAAAAGCGAAGCCGTATGTGGGGGGTCTTTTCAATTTTCATAACTCTTTCCGAGCAAGTTGGTCCCATTTTCAGATGTTCCTTCACACGCGCTTACTCGCGTGGCCTAACACACCACACGGCTCATGTTTGCAGATGGCTGGTGGTGAGTCTCACCCCGCTGAATCAGCGCGTGGTATCGTCAAAGGTGGGAAATGCAGTCAACTGTACTGACAGTAACCCAGAATGTCTTTGGAGATTTTTAAACTCTTCGCATTTAGTTTCTTTGCTTTCTCTGTTTGGTGGGAAAAAGGCCGACGTAATAGGCCCAATCACATTATATTTTCCTTATTTTATCGAGACCCAATTTACTTCCTTTAATAAACATAACTTGAGTTTTCAAACCTTAATTTATCGGAAACTTGAGTTTTCAATGAAACAAATTACATTTCCGTAAGGAACGTGACGTCTTTATCCTTTCTAATCCCGTTTTTGTATTATTGTTTTGAAAGTAGTTGAGTTGCAGTAATGGCCCAGTTCACCAAATGTGACATATAACTTGGTTGTGACTTGTGTGACACATAAACATGGTGAGATATTTATAGAAATCTTTCAAAACCCAATTGAGTCTCCAGCTGCAACCGAAGGTGAAAGCATACAGACTACAGTTTTTCTTAACTATCAATTTCAACATTCAATACAATTCCCTAAGAAAAAGAATTACCTTTCTTTCTATCTTCCTTTCCTTAAGCTAATGTGGGCACCACAGCCCATCCAAACCATGAATTAATTTCTTTCCCCAACCTGCTGAATACGGTGAAGCTTTCCAAATCTCAAGAATATATGGTGTAGAAGAATGTTTACAAGCTTCTCTTCTTGTACAAGTTACAACAAGGTTGTTCAAATCATCTAACAAATGCTTCTCCTTGAAAAACCAAATTCATTAGAATTTCAATTTAGAAAGAAAGAGAAAAGAAAAAAGAGAAACCCCAGCTTATAGATTGGTTGAGCCGTTAATAGGTTGGGCCTCTTGTTCGTAGAGTTGAACAAGGGTAGAGTCGACGTTCTCCTGAGGCTCCCACGTGGCATCAGCCATATCAGTCCATTTCACAAGAAACTCCGTCGTGCCGTCGTCCCCGATCCTCTTCCCCATCACTCTCTCCGCTACAGCGTACTCCAGCCCAGCCTCGTAGTCCTTGGCCACGTCTTCCGCCACGTGTATACCTTTCACCCACTCGCAGTCTCCACCGTCCTTCCATTTGACCAGATATTCCACGTCTTTGCCTCTCCCTCGTTTCTCCATAATCTCCTGCACCTCCGCGTACTCGAACACCTGTCCTTCCAGGATACCGATCACCTTCTCGAGCCCCAATCTCCGCCCGAATTGCATCGGATTTCCCTTGGGCGTCGTCTTCAGAATCTCCTTGGCCAGCTCCAGCGCCGTTAACCCTCTCTCGTCTTCCACTTCCCCATCGGCGCCCACCTCCACCAGCGCCGCCACCACATCCGGCTTCACGTAACCAGCCGCCATGTGCAGCGCCGTTAGGCCGCCCCTGATGTCACGGTGGTCCAGATTCGCTCCAGCCTCCGCCAGAAGCCTGACGCACTTGTCCGAACCCAGCCCCGCCACGAAAAGGAACGCCGTCCTTCCGTTTTCGTCTACGGCGTCGACGTCGCGACCGTCACCCGACTCCAGAAGCTGCGACAGGGCCTGGTCGTCGGCCTTCCTCGCGGCGGTCCACCAGGGGGTCTCGTACTCCGACACCACGTCTGCTGCGATGTAGCTGGATGGGACCCACGAGGGAGAATGACCGTCCTTCCACTCGATTAGGTACTCCATGGCGGCGCCGCCTTCCGCCATCCGGCTTCCAATAATTCTGTTCACTTCCCCGTACGACTCATCGTCTTCCACGGAGGCCGTTTCGTAGTTCCTTTGCACCGCAAATATTGGTCGGAAACGCAGCTGCTTCCGGATGCGTCTAATCGGAAAGGATTCAAGGGAGAAAGCATAATATTTGGGAGTAGGGGAAAGCTTGATGATGCGAGACAAAGACTGATTGATTGCGAGAGAAGTATCCATGGCCAGAGGTTTCTGTGGAAACTCGCAAGAGAGAGAGAGAGTTAACGGAGACACTGGATTTCCTTGTGGATAAGGAATCTTAGCCACCCAATCATCACTCGTGAGCTTCTGGTAATTTAAAATGGGCCCAGAGTAAGCACTTGTTTCTTTGAGGATGGTGTATTATTCATTGTATACACAAACCAAGCCCAGTATTGTCTTGCTTCAGTATGTAATATGTATATCTCCTCCATACTGTCTGTCTACTTAGTACTTACTATATATTATATTGTGTTTGTACACAAAGCGCACAAGAAACAAGCATTGTTTAAGAGCATAATTATGCCCAAATTATCTTACACATAGTCAACATTTTGTCTTCTCAATCCCAAACGAGGAAACAAAATATCCTCATCTCCCTCTCATGATGATACCTTCACTTGTTTCGACTCTTTTACTCAGCAGCAGCCTGTACAAGGCATCTTTCAGATTCAGATTTAACAATAAACATCCCTATTAATACATCTGCCTACTACTTAGCTGTGTTAAAATTGCTAAATTTTTGGTATAAAATATCAAAAACATATGCTTTTTCAACAGTTGAACAAGCTACTATTAAGTCTTAATCTTATCCCCATTAACTAAAAGAAAACATTCACTGACCTGGTTAAGAGGATTATCTGGCGATTTCTTCCACGTCTTCCATATCACCTCCCTGTACTGGGTGAGAGTAAGACCTGGTTTCTCCTCTTTCAGCCTAGCAAGTTCAGCTTCTTCATAGGCCTAAACCACAACCACAACCATAGCAACTCAGAATTGTGCACATTATCATTTCAGTTTCACACGTTTCTCTCCTAAATTGTGATCAACTAAAAGGATTACGAATTAGGAATCAGGCAGGGCATAAGATAAGAGATAACCTTAAACGAGGCCTTGACCCTTTTCTCGGGGTGTCGATCAACCGGCAGGTTATCAGTCACTGTAATCCGTGCGAGGGCCTCGTCAACGCTATGGGCCTCGATGAGGGAATCGTCGCGATTGGTATTGGAGACCAGTACCATCTTTTCGTACTCCTCTTCCCCTGCCATGCGGGTCTGTTTCTTCTTAGAGTCTTCCGCTTTCTTCGCCAGCGCCACCTGGTCCTCCTCGCGCTTTCGGATGAGCTCCGCTTCCGTGACCTTGGGGACAGGCACAGCGACGCGATTCGCCTTCTTGTCCGGCTTTTTTAGAGCCTTCTCCAGCTCTTTTTCCTCCTCCTCAGCAAGACGCCGCGCCTCCAGTTTTTTGGCGGCAGCCTCCGCCTTCTTCTCCGCGTCCTCCTCTCGCTTCTTGGCCGCCTTAGATCTGGGACCCTCGGCCTCGCGCCAGTATTGTTCCTCCTTCTCCCGAGTCTGGCGATCCTTCTGCTCGGCCTCGGCGGCGGTCTTCCGGGATTTGGCGACCTCCGCCTTGCTGTTGACACCCATCTTCTTCGGCATCTTCGCTAATCGTAATCGCTAGGGTTAGCTGGGAAATTGATGAGACAATCCTTCACCCTTTTGTCTTTGCTGGATGGGAAATGAATTGATTTTGGTAAATGGGCTGGGTCTGGGTCTGGGTCTGGGTCTGGGTCATCGTGCTAGCAAGTTGAAAATATATATTATTAATGTAATTATAATAAGATTTGTGTTTAGAGTAAGGTGTGTAATGTTGAACACAAGTGAGACCACCGGAGACAGGTTGATATATAATTTTCCCCCAAATTTCCCCAAATTATTTTATTTTAAAAATTGGGAGGGAAGGGGAAGGGGGAGAGGCGTAGGTCTGGGTCTGCGTCTGGGTCTGGAATGGCGAAGGAGAATAATCTGTCGAGCTTGGTTCACGAACTGCGTGAAAGGGTCGCCGCATCTTCCTCCACTCCGGCAAACATCTTTGGTCACTCTTCTGGAGACGACGATGCTCTGGAGATTCGATTTCGTGCTGTCATCCCAAATCTCCTGAATACCTTCCTTGTCCCTTCTCTCGGTACACCACAATCATAGATTTACTCCCTCTTTTAATTTTGTTGAGTCTCAGACGACTTCAATTTCACGATTGCATTGATTGACAGGCAAAGGGAGGGAAGTTACTGCTGTGATGAAGCTTGTTGGTCACACAGCAAGGACCATTCCGGGAGTTTTCTATCACGGGAATCCTGCTGCTATCTTCCCTGTGATTGGTCGTATTATCCCCTTCTTTGCCGAACCAGAGTTTGTGTAAGTTTTTGTTGTTTCAATAGAGAGTTCCTGTGTATTTGACTCTCTGCACCAATCCTCTAATCTGACTATCCTCACTGCTTTCTCGCTATTATGCACATCGGACAATGGTAGTTTTGCTTGAATGCTTTCTCTTTTAAACCAATTGCAGTCCTGGGCATGGGGTACTACTTGAAACTGTTGGCTCTCTCTTAATGTTGCTGCGTTCCAACTCAAGGAAGGCCTACCGGATCTTCTTCCATGACGCTTTGCAGGCCATTCAAGGTGATTCTAAATGAACCTTTGTAATGTGGACTGATACTAACCACAAGTTTTATGTGATTATTACTAATACCTTCTATCTTCCCCACAATTTGTCTACTTATACTGGCTCGACTAACATGCTCTTGTGTATGCCTCCAGATATGCAACCTATTGCATCGCTTAATTCCAGGGAACCGGAACTCTGTGAATCTCACATTCCATTTAGGTGTTTCTCTATGTCCTTTTCTGGAATTTGGGGTGATTCTTGTCATCTCTGTGATCTACCAGATGCTAATAAGCCCACAGATGGGGATGGTCTTGTGTTGAACTTATTGGGAGCCCAACGGTGGCAACCTTTTGCTACTTGTATCATTAAACTCGTCTGTAAATGCCTAACCGAGGGGACACTCTACGTCGAGGGTCTCGTCCATACATCATTTGTTACAGCCGCTTCTTCTTTAGTATGCTGTGGTGGTGCAGATGTGCAGATGGTGAGTTGCTATTTCCTTTATCTCTTCGGTTGATACTGTAACTGGTGTATTCAATTTTCTTTGAAGATGTGATGATTTTTGGAGACACTAATCTGACATCTTATTTTATATGGAAGGCATGCTTTGAATTTGCTTCTCTTGTCGGATCAATCCGTAGTTTCAACATCCTCCCTCATGTGCCCTTGATACAGTCAATCATCCTCCTTTTAGGTGCAGATGGAGAAGGACTTCCTGTGTACAGGTGTGTTCCCTATCATGTCAAAGCACAGCTCTTTTGTTTTTATTCTGGCATGATTGTGGATTGATTAAGAAAATTTACATCTTCCCTGTTTACCTTCCTCGCATTTTTGTTTTAAAAAAATATAATTGTAAGTTACTACTTTTTCCACTTGTTAAGTGACTCTTAACCTATGAAGTTTCAGAAAAGTAGACATACCTTCACTTTGAACTTCTGATTCTGGGTTTGTGTTACAGGAATGCGATTTATGATTCTTCCATTGGACGTTGCCTTACGACAGTATATTCCCTCTGCTCTGATGTTGCTGTCCAACTAACTGCCGAAAGTTTAGTGTTGGTATTCCCTCATGCATTACAGAGAACAAATAGCGAGGAGCTTAAGGTATATCTGAATATGTTTCTTTCTGTTCACATGTTTCACTCCATATGAATTTCTGATCGATTCCTTATATGTTCTTTTTGCTGCTGCTCTTTCAAAAACTTTATGGGGAATCATACTGGGTATTTGTATGCAGGCTTCCTTGTGCAGTGCATACGTGCGGATCGTGAAATCTTGTCCTCCCTGTATCTGGAAGCTAAATTGCCTTTTAGAGTTGCTTCATCTTTCCGAACCTTGTATTCAATTGACAGAATGTTTTAAGGCCGTTACTGTTGTTCTTGGACCTGGTTTTGTTCGAGGTGAGACAACCAAATCAGGTGATCATACATTAGCAGCAAGTGATAGACCTGTCAAGGGTGTTCACGTCGGACAAAAAAGGCATATTAATGATGGAAGCACCTACAAAAGGAAGCGCCTGAAACTTGATGCTGATACTCAACAAGGGATTTACTTGGCTCCTGAAATTGCCGATAAGACTGATGGAGAAAATGCTGATAGTCTGCGTGGGATGATTATTTCGACTATAGAATCTTTAAAGCCTCCACCTGGTGGACCTAGTCTGTTACGGCCTGAAATTTCAGTTGTGGCACTTAGCATACTCACCAATGCATTTTGTTTTTGTCCCTGGACTGGTATGACTCATCGCTTGTTTCACCAGATGTATGCCTGGATTCCCTGGATTGCTGAGCAGGTAACCAGAAACTCCACAGTCCCTACTCTTTTATTAGCATTTTCATTTTCAGACTTTCTGAAAGATTCGTATGTAGGTTGAGAAAGAAAATCCTATCATGTTCGATATTTCTATATACTTGGAAGGAATTCACAATCTGCTGCTCATGCCCGGTAACTTTCTGTCCATCAAGTCTGACCTTCTTTTTTTCCATGCCAAATAATGTGGCAATCTTTTGCTTTATACCAGTTCTGGATCTAACATCTCTTAATGTAATCTCCTTTAATCAGATTTGGATTCACGAAACAAATATAAAAGTAAAGGGAATGATTTGGATGCCATACAAGTTGTGCTGAAGCTTTCTTGGACGCATTTTCTGTTGTTTAGGAGGCCCGGTTCTCTATTAAAGTCCAAGTGCTTATCTGTGAGGATATGGACAAAGCTTGGTTTACGTGACGGGAGCGGTTTGGATATCTTCAGTATGGCTCTTTCTGATGACTCTGAACAAGTGCGAGCTGTCGCTGTTATCTCCATGCCACTCAAAGTTTTTTTCTCTGAACTTGATACCCTTCCTCATATACTCCGGAAGCTGGAGTAAGTTGATGAGAAAATATGACTTCATATTGCTGTTTTTGCTCACAGTTCCTTTTAAATACATAGATTAACTGTTCTTTTGTTTTACATTCATAGGAGTTTGTTGAAAGATGAGCATTTGATGGCTAAGAAGACCATTCCTCTGTCCCTTGGCCTCTTATCGTGCCTCTATGGATCGAGTGCCACTGGCTCAGAAAAAACTGCAGGCCATTTGTTCCTATATGAAGATATAAAGAAAGATGAGACTCTGAATGGTCTGCTTCAAGGTTTCCGATGTTCAAAATGTGATAAATTTTTCAAAAGCAAAGATGAGAACCATTTCAGAATCATAGAGACTCCGGAGATGGTGAAAATGGAAATGGATCATCATCGTGATTGCTTTGAATCCTTTTATTTTAATCTTCTCTATGATGAGTCTTGTGAAGAGACTCAACTAGCCTGTGTAGAAGTAATACGAAGAATTCTTGGCCACACAGCCCCAGATATTCTGGCAAGAAAAAGGTCTCAGTGGATAAAATGCCTTCAATATCTGTTACTTCATGTAAATACAGATGCAAGGGAAGCATTCTGTGCTCAGATTGGTATCTTTGTACAGCATCCAATTTTGAGCTGTTTGTTTCTTGATGAAGATGCTATGGAGAACAGCTGCGAAAGGAATTTTTTTAATTTGATTGAGCATTCTCTAGCAACAGCTCAGGATCCTCTTGTCATCCAGACCCTCTTGGAATCAACAGCTGAAGTTATGATAGCTGTTGATATTACCAGTGAGCTTTTCTTGTTTTCTCTTTTCCTGCTGATTGATCAGCTCGATCATCCAAACTTGATCGTCCGAATAAATGCATCAAGGTTAATAAATTGGTCATGCTACATCCATGTGAAAGGGGGATTTACGATGCTACTTTCCAGAGCTGCTCATATTCAAAATGAGTTGTTTGGTTATCTATCTGTCAGGCTGACCAGCCGTCCAAATGTGGTGAGAGAATTTGCAGAGGCTGTTTTGGGTGTTGAAACTGAAGAACTTGTGAGGAAAATGGTCCCCATTGTTCTTCCTAAGCTATTGGTATATTGGCAGGAAAATTCTCAAGCAGCCAATACCTTGAACGAACTGGCCAAGGTCTTAGACATAGATGTGGTACCTCTAATAGTAAACTGGCTACCCAGAGTTCTTGCTTTTGCTCTGAATCAAAAAGAAGAGAGGAATCTGCTCTCAGTTTTGCAATTGTATCACTCACAGATTGGTTCTGACAACAAGGAAATTTTTGCTGCTGCATTACCTGCACTCTTAGATGAGCTCGTATGCTTTGTGGACATTGCTGATACACCCGAGACAGATAGAAGGTATGTACTTGCATAGCTTCGTATTTCTCGAGCAGAATTGGTGGTTGGATATAGCATGAAAGTTTTCTAAGTTTTTTTCTGCATGTTTACTGTTCTATCTTCTGCTCACTCACATTTACATGTCAACCGAATTAGTTAGAGGTTGTTTGTTGTTTATTTAAAAGCCGTGAGAGGAAAATGCACTTTTCATTTGAAACAAATAACTGAACGTCCTACTGCTTGTTTTGTTTTATGACATGCTGTTTGATCTCAATATTTTACTTATGCAGACTTCAGAGACTGCCTGAGGCAATAAAGAAGATCTCAAAAGTTTTAACAAATGCGGAAGACCTTCCTGGCTTTCTACAAAACCATTTTGTTGGGCTCCTCAACAGTATTGACAGAAAACTGCTTCATGCAGATGATATTTTTCTTCAAAAACAAGCACTGGAGCGTATTAAGCTGCTCATTGAGATGATGGGCCACTATCTCAGCACATATGTACCGAAGCTTATGGTTCTCCTTATGCATGCCATTGACAAAGATGCACTTCAGAGCGAGGGTCTCTTAGTCTTGCATTTTTTTACAAAAAAGCTTGCTGCCGTATCGCCCTCTAGCATAAAGTATGTAATATCTCAGGTTTTTGCGGCACTTATACCCTTCTTAGAGGGAGAGAAGGAAGGTCCCCAAGTTGTGAAAATTCTTGAAGAACTTGTTTTGAAGAATAGGGATATACTAAAGCAGCACATCTGTGAGTTTCCCCTCTTACCTAGCATACCTTCCTTAGCAGAATTGAACAATGCTATTCAAGAAGCACGTGGATTTATGAGCCTGAAGGATCAGTTACGAGATATTGTAAATTGTATGAAACATGAGAACCTGAACGTTAGGTACATGGTGGCATGTGAGCTAAGCAAATTGCTGTATCAAAGAAATGAAGATGTTGCTGCACTGATTGCCGGTGAACTTACCTCAGACATGGAGATTTTGAGCTCTTTGATCACATCTTTACTACAGGGGTGTGCAGAAGAATCACGAACTAGAGTGGGTCAGAGGTTGAAGTTAGTCTGTGCAGATTGTCTTGGAGCAATAGGTGCTATTGACCCCGCCAAAGTGAGAGTTGCTTCATGCAGTCGTTTTAAAATCCAGTGCTCAGATGATGATCTTATCTTTGAGCTCATTCACAAACACTTGGCAAGAGCTTTTAGAGCTGCACAGGATCCAATCATACAAGACTCAGCTGCTCTTGCCATTCAGGAATTACTAAAGATTGCTGGTTGTGAGCCATCATTAGCTGGAAATGTTGTTGTGTTTACCCCACAGGAACGTGTGCAACTCAATGTGTCTGGTTCTAGAAGATCTGGAGGTAGCAATGAAGTGCATGACAGGGGACAAAAACTATGGGACCGGTTCTCAAACTATGTTAAAGAACTAATAGCTCCCTGCTTGACTTCAAGGTTTCAGCTTCCAAATGTGTCTGACCCTGGATTAGCTGGAGCAATTTATCGGCCTTCGATGTCGTTCAGAAGGTGGCTATCCTACTGGATAAAGAAACTGACAGCACATGCAACTGGATCCCGTGTAAGCATATTTGCTGCTTGCCGAGGCATAGTGCGCCACGATATGCAGACAGCTACTTATCTCTTACCATATTTAGTTCTGGATGTTGTTTGCCATGGGACTGAGGCAGCACGGCTTAGCATTTCGGAAGAGATCCTTTCTGTTCTTGATGCTGCTGCGTCAGAAAATAGTGGGGTGACGATAAACAGCTTTGGTGTTGGTCAGAGTGAAGTTTGTGTTCAAGCTGTTTTCACACTTCTTGATAACCTTGGGCAATGGGTTGACGATATGAAGCAGGCAGTAGCACTCTCATTGTCTCTGCAGTCATCAAGCGGTAGGCAAGTAGCACCCAAGTTAAAAGACCAGGCTTCAAGTTCAACAACAGAACATAACCAACTTCTTGTACAATGTAAAAATGTGTTGGAGCTTTTGCTTGCTATTCCCAAGGTGACCCTTGCTAGGGCATCATTCAGGTGTCAAGCTTATGCCAGGTCATTGATGTACCTCGAATCCCATGTGCGTGAAAAGTCAGGCTCCTTAAATCCTGCAGCTGAGAAGACAGGCATCTTTGAAAATGCTGATGTCTCTTCTCTGATGGGAATATACAGCTGCGTTGACGAGCCTGATGGTCTTTCGGGCTTTGCAAGTTTAAGCAAATCGTTAAGTTTGCAAGACCAATTGTTGATAGATAAGAAATCTGGTAACTGGGCAGAAGTGTTTACAGCATGTGAACAAGCCCTTCAGATGGAACCGACATCAGTTCAAAGACACTCAGATGTTCTTAATTGCTTACTTAACATGTGCCACCATCAGACAATGGTCACTCATGTTGATGGACTAATTTCCAGAGTACCTGAGTACAAGAAAACATGGTGCACACAAGGTGTACAAGCTGCATGGAGACTTGGAAAGTGGGACTTGATGGATGAGTATCTTGGTGGAGCTGATGAAGAAGGTCTACTCTTCAGTAGCTCAGATAGTAATGCCTCCTTTGACAGAGATGTCGCAAAGATTCTCCAAGCAATGATGAAGAAGGATCAATACTCTGTAGCTGAGAGAATAGCAATTTCTAAACAAGCTCTCATTGCTCCTCTAGCTGCTGCAGGCATGGACTCCTATACACGAGCTTATCCTTTTGTTGTCAAACTTCACTTGCTCAGGGAGCTAGAGGACTTCCAGGCGCTGCTTAATGGGGATTCATATTTGGAGAAATCATTTAGTACAAGTGATCCGGTGTTTTCAAAAGTAGTAGGTAACTGGGAGAACCGGCTCAGGTTTACTCAATCATCATTATGGACAAGGGAACCGCTCTTAGCTTTCCGAAGGCTTGTCTTTGGTGCCGCTGGGCTTGGTGCACAAGTTGGGAACTGTTGGCTTCAATATGCAAAGCTTTGCCGTTTGGCTGGACACTATGAGACAGCTCACAGGGCAATTTTGGAAGCTCAGGCTTCTGGTGCACCTAATGTTCACATGGAAAAGGCAAAACTTCTTTGGATCACTAGGCGTTCGGACAGTGCCATTGTAGAGCTACAACAGTCTCTCCTGAATATGCCTGAGGGAGTTGTTGACTCCACTGTAATATCTTCTATCAATAGCTTATTGATGGCTCCCACAAATCCAGAGCCAACAGTTCGTAACACACAATCTTTCAAGGAGAAAAAGGATGTTGCGAAGACTCTTCTTTTGTATTCAAAATGGATCCATTACAGTGGGCAAAAACAAAAGAAAGATGTTTTAAATCTTTACACCCAAGTCAAGGACTTGCAGCCCTGTGAAAAGGGATATTTCCACTTGGCTAAGTATTATGATGAACTATATGTTGACGCAAGAAAGTGTCAACAAGAGAGCCTTGTAGTGAGCTCTGCAGGTAGCAAAAAAGGCTCTGTCTTGTCGAACTCGAGCACTGAGAAAGCAGGATGGGATTACCTTTTTAAGGGAATGTATTTCTATGCTAAGGGACTTCACAGTGGGCACAAGAATCTCTTTCAAGCACTTCCGAGGCTGTTGACACTGTGGTTTGACTTTGGTACTATCTACCAAATGAGTGGTTCAGCAGGAAATAAGGAATTAAAAAGTACTCATATGAAGGTGGTGATTCTGGCCTCGTGTTTTATATATATCTTCGGTATTTGTTTCTTCTCCTATTTCATATATATACAATTTGTTTATTACTTTTGACAGATAATGAGTTTAATGAGGGGCTGCTTAAAGGATCTGCCAACCTATCAATGGTTAACTGTGTTGCCTCAGTTGGTTTCTAGAATTTGTCACCAGAACGGGGAAACAGTACAAATGGTCAAAAATATCATCACTTCTGTTCTGCATCAATTTCCACAACAAGGGCTCTGGATTATGGCAGCTGTATCAAAATCTACTGTTCTTGCTAGGAGGGAAGCAGCTGCAGAAATTATACAAGGCGCACGAAAAGGTTTTAACCAAAGTGACAGAGGCCACAATCTGTTCATTCAGTTTGCTAGTTTGACTGATCATTTAATAAAACTGTGCTTCCACGGGGGACAGCCAAGATCCAAGATCATCAATATAGCGACTGAATTCAGTGCCTTGAAAAGAATGATGCCGCTGGATATCATCATGCCAATTCAACAATCTCTCACCATTAGCCTTCCAGCATTCGATATGAACAACAATGAACGACAACACTCTGCCAGTGTCTTTTCTGATTCAGATCTACCAACTATCTCTGGTATAGCTGATGAAGCCGAGATACTTTCATCCCTTCAGCGCCCAAAGAAGGTTTGCTTTTCCATTCCAACCTAATTCCATATGATTTTCTGTACTTCTCTCCTTTTATGTGTCTCCTAATATTCATTGAACCATACACACATTTTTATCTTTGAGAATCAATCCTGCATTATGCCTTACGAATAAACTATATTTTGTATATTCAGATAATTCTACTGGGAAACGATGGTGTTGAGTATCCATTCCTCTGCAAGCCCAAGGATGATCTCAGGAAAGATGCTCGGATGATGGAATTTACTGCAATGATAAACCGCTTACTGTGCAAATATCCCGAAAGCAGGCGAAGGAAGCTATATATCCGCACCTTTGCAGTAGTTCCTCTGACTGAGGACTGTGGTATGGTAGAGTGGGTTCCACATACACGTGGACTCCGCCATATTCTACAAGATATATACATTTCTTGTGGGAGGTTTGATCGGCAGAAAACAAATCCTCAAATTAAAAGAATATATGATCAGTGTGCTGTCAAAAAGGAGTCTGAGATGCTGAAGACCAAGATCCTCCCTATGTTCCCTCCAGTTTTCCATAAATGGTTCTTGACAACGTTTTCTGAACCAGCTGCTTGGTTTAGGTCACGTGTTGCTTATGCTCACACCACAGCAGTTTGGTCCATGGTTGGGCACATTGTTGGGCTTGGTGATCGTCACGGAGAAAATATACTCTTCGATTCTACTTCAGGTGACTGTGTTCACGTAGACTTCAGCTGCTTATTTGACAAAGGCTTGCAACTGGAGAAGCCTGAGTTGGTGCCATTCAGATTGACCCAGGCAAGAAACTGCAACTGTTATTTTTTCTTTTTCCTTTGTTACAAATAATGACATTTAAATGTTGGTTTGTCGTACCACAGAACATGATCGATGGTCTGGGCATCACTGGATATGAAGGCATCTTCATGAGGGTATGTGAAATCACTCTCACAGTGCTGAGGACGCATAGGGAGACATTGATGAGCATCCTGGAGACTTTCATCCACGATCCACTTGTTGAGTGGACAAAATCACACAAATCAAGCGGGGTAGAAGTTCAGAACCCGCATGCTCAGGTCTGCATAATCATTTGATGGTTCTCTTACACATGCTTTTCTTTTCTCTAATTTCTGAAGACAACCGCATGATTTGGCTATTTGCAGAGGGCTATAAGCAGCATTGAAGCCCGTCTGCGGGGGGTGGTTGTCGGTGTTTCCTTACCAGTTGAGGGTCAGGCTCGCCGGTTGATTGCAGATGCAGTCTCACTTGAGAATCTTGGGAAAATGTACATCTGGTGGATGCCCTGGTTCTGATGTAAATCTCTCACATAAACAATCGTTGTTGGTTGCTCTCACTACACCAGTTTGCATAGTAAGTTGATGAAACATGCTATGAACTTGTAAAACTCTTGCTCATTTCAACAATTTATATATTGGAAGCGACCTCGACCTCTTAATCACAGCATAGACAACAGAGTTGAGATAATTGTTTACGTCTACAAATCTAACTTGGCTAGTCAAATTGCAATTGCAGTGTGACCCGAGGAAACCAGGAGTACATAAATGACCGATCCTAAGAGCATTAACAGGTAAACAGACTCTTGGATGCCTTTTCTTACTTGACAAGAAACATCTCTGATGCTGGTGATTTAACACAAGGATTATGTTTTCAGAGAATACTAAAGCAAAGCATAATGTGTGTGTGTACAAAACCATCATCCTCCACCTGTCTTCCTTCGTCTCATTAATAGCTCGCTGTCGTCTTCTTCGTCTGTGCTGAACAAGTCCATTGAGACGACGCCGTGGAGCCACTCGAGACAACCGCATTGTCCTCCGCAGCAAACCTCTTTGAATTTGCCAAAAAGACCTTCCTCCACAACTGTCCCCGGTGGCCTTCCTGCCATAGGTTGCAGGTAAGCCAATGCCGCTTGCTTCACCAGTGGGTTCCTTATTGGTATCTCGGAGCCGCTCCTACAACCTGGTGACTTCACAGGTGAGGCTGGAGGCGGAGTTGGAGGAGGAGGAGGCGGCCTACTCATCGACAAGATTTCCCGGAGAGACGTGTATCTAGACATCACCGATTTTTGCAGACTATCACAGGAGCTCGCCGTCGTTTTGGTGACTATCAACAAGTCCGAACGTGATGAAGACTCGCTCTGGCGTGTTGGCTTCATCGTCCTACTTAGATCGGAGAGAAGAAGCTTGGTTCTGGCAATTTTCTATCACAAGAAGAAGACTATGCTTTGTGCCAACTTCCCCTTGTTAAATCGATTAAACATGAAAACAATATATTTAAGTTTCTCGAATCAAACGCAAATCATTTAAGGATAATAATAATCATGAGAATCGTCACCAACAGTTATCAATATTTCTTATTATGTTTTCATTTTGAAGAACAACTGGCAGGGTTGCAAGAAATTAAAATGATTAAGGAATTTCTGTATTTCCATTTGTAGAAAGTTTTAAATGCGAATGAAAAGGTACTTACTACTTATGGTCTAATTTAGGCAACTTGGAAAAAAGGAAACGAAATTTCATGGACGAAATTGAAGCTGCATGTTTTTAACATTAAATTACATAACTTGGTCAATGAAATTTTATTAAAGAAATGTGGCCGTTTATCTACAGCTGCGCACATATGAGAGTCCGTTGACGCCATATTTTCAATTGTGTAAATGCTAACACATCAATGATCGTGCTCCAGCGCATGTCTGTCTGTAAAGAAATGAGTTGGTCAATAATAATCTTAATTGTAATCAGAAATAAATAGATAAAAATCGACACCCAGTCCCAGATATGAAGGCAAATTTAACGTATACTTTAACAAATGAAGAAGGAAAATTAAGTAATCCGATCTTAATATTAGATTGGCATTGTAGCGCGAAAAAGATGTTTGATTTTACTTACTTTTATTATGCATCGTTAGTTTAGTTCATAGAGAAATTTAGTTCAATATTCTTAAGCATTAACATTTACATCTTTGCTAACCAAAAAAAAAAACACACACACACACTTACTTGATCGAACAAGACATGTCGATGTTTTGTAAGTATTTGCTTGGAGTATGAAATATCATCCCAATGCAAAATTGAAGCGGCATTTATGGATGATCATAGATCAAACAGCTCAAGCATCGAGAAGATGTGATAAACAGATAATACAAAAATGTTTCAAAAGAATTGCATGCGGAGGATTGGAAAGGGGACAGGAGAGAGAGAGAGAGAAAAGAAGAAATGCATTTTGGGAGTCAATTGGTTGAGTCTCTGCTGTAGAACTGGTCGAGTGGTTTTGCGGTGAAGCAACTCACGCGGGAAGATCCTGAGGAGCGTCCAAGCGAATAAGTTTGTGTTTATATTTAGCATTCTTCTTGATTATGCAATTTCTTTTTACTAGGAGTCTTAGCTTTCAATACTACTCAACGAATACAGAATATGTTTCTTACACGTTACAAGAAAGAAATAGAAAGACAAGGACCACAAATAAGTTACATGCCAAAAATAAAATAAAAGAAAGGTTATCCATATTGTACATAGTTATCAATAATCAAAACCAAGATCCAGTGAAATTATATGCCGACTAAGTTTTGCTTCCACGCTTCTAATTGTGTGTTTCTTTCCAAATTTGTGTCTTTTGACAGCTTAAAAAGAGAATTTATAGGTCTATCTACCGTCCGTCGTTCGGATCTGACGGCTGTGATAACAAGCCGTACAATTAAGACGGAATCTAACGGTGGAAAAAGAAGGATCACATGCCTCAAATCTAATCTAACACTTGTGAAGAAGCCGAGAGGAGAGACACAAGCGAGAGAGAAGCAAATTCCAAGAAGAAATGGCAGCCGCAGCTCTCTCCGCCCAACCCAACCGCCTTAGCTCAGCCTCCGATGCTCCTCTCCACCCGCTCTACCTTCCTTCCAAGCTCAATTCCCTTTTCTTCCCGACTCACCCGTGGCGCTCCGCCGCGATTCTCCTTCCTACGCGGCGTCGATGCGCGGCGCCTAGAGCCAGTTCTCGCGCTGACGATTCTCCGCCGTTCGACATGTCTGTGGAGACGGCTCTCAAGGTCCTCGGTGTCTCTGAAGGAGCTTCCTTCGACGAAATTCTTCGCGCCAAGAAGTCGATCCTCGCTTCCCGTAAGGACGACCCCAACGCCATCTCCCAGGTGAATCCAAGGTTTCGGCCTTTCATTTCTAAGCTAGTTGGCTACTATAGAAATAGAGAAAGAGAAGCAGATAGTTTCCACTGTAAATTTGCATCCCTAATCCCTAATCCCCTGTCTCTCTCTCACTCTCTCTCTCTCTCACTCTCTCTCTCTCTCTCTCTCTCTCACTCTCAGGCGGAGGCTGCATATGACATGCTGCTGATGCAGAGCCTAAACCAACGGCGAGCAGGCAAAGTAGTGAGCAACAATATTCGCTACGCCGATGTCAAAACCAGTACCCCGGGCAGGGTGTCTCAGTGGATGAAGAATCCACCCGTCTCTCTTGACATGCCATCCACGAGCAATCTCGGAATCCAAGCCGGAGTCTATGGAGCAATGATGGCCTTGACCTACGTGAACGGAAGTTCCGAGTCTTCCGGGATCCCTTACGCCGCTGCTGATGTGCCCGGCCTCATTTTGGCCACCAGCTTTGGAGCTTCCCTCTACTTCATGACCAAAAGGAACGTCAAGCTAGGTAGATTACAACTTCTCAGAGCATGCTCTCACTCACCATATAATCTCATAGTCTCACGCAGCTTCCTGTGTTGGTTTTGTTGTGTGCAGGGAAAGCAGCTGCAATCACGGCAGGAGGACTAGTGGCAGGTGCAGTGGTGGGATCGACCGTGGAGAGCTGGCTCCACGTTGACGTGGTCCCTTTGCTGGGTCTCCACTCTCCAGCCGCACTCGTGAGTGAATTCATAGTCTTTTCCCAGTTCTTGGTCTCTCTATACTTGCGGTAGAACTTTAGACACTGGCTTCACCTCAAAGCTCAACCTGTGATATATACATATATATATATATATATATATATATATTGGTATGTGTACGTTTATATGCCCTTTGTACAGAACACCCAAAAGTAAACAAGAACAAGTCATGAATCTCATCTGCCTTGTTAAGTTTCTATTTTTCTAAACCAAATTCAAATAACAAAAGTTAAGGAGACAAAGGAAAGTAGTGACTTGTTTTCACGGTTCACAGAGTTAACAAACAAAACCAGGTACATAGTTATAGCTCATGGAACGAGTATACAGAGAGAAGAATAACAAAATGAAGACGCAACAAGTTGGGGAAATAATAAGAAAAGTGGTATACAAGATTTAAGGAGAATTTGGCTTGGCAAGTGAAAGACCAAACTTCAAACTCCGATCACGTGAACCGAGAATTCTTCTTGCAGCAATTCCAGTGTTGATATTAACAACAAATGATGATAAAAGGAAATGCAACAAAAGAAAAAAGGCAACTTCAGTTGAGACCGTATGATCCGACGATGTTGCAAACAGTTTGAGCAAAGGTTGTTGAGGTTATCTTTTTCCCAGGGACATGGAAGGGGTTTGAGACTGCATCTACGTAGGCAGCATGGAACTTCCTGAAGAACTGTAGAGAAGAGGTCAACAAAAGTAGCAAGTCGTGGTTTGATGCCAAAAAAACTAGCAAGTTGAAAGACACTTACACTTGTCACATCGGTGTCTCTGACATCCAAATCAGTTGTGACCAGTATAAATTTCACTTTGGTATTAGTCAAGTAACCATACCTGCACGAGAAGGAGAAGAAGTAAGAGTGAATGTAATGTAGTGTGAGAGACACAGCTTAAGCTTAGTGCCTTACACTTTGTAGTTGACAGTGGGATAGAGCAGGCCAAGAAATGCCTCGTTCAGTGTCGTACCAGACTTTTTCGGATTGTTCACTGGAGGAGACACAGATTGAAAGGTTTCAAATAATACAAATGGAATTGAATCAAAAGATGAGATGAGCAAAGCAAAAGAGAAAGGACCTCGCTCTTCGATGACGTCAAGCGAGCAATGAACAACGTGGTGGAGCTTGAGGGCATCGTCAGCATCCGTGAAGCTCTGTATGTAGAGCGGATTGTTCTGTTTCGACCCAAGTCAGTTACAATTTCAATCGGATCACTTCAGAAATCAGAAATCAGAAATCAGAAATCAGAAAGGTAAATCCACCTGGTGCCCGACGACGGAGACGCAAACGATCATCTTTGACCTTGCAGATTGAATTCCAAAGTTGCGATCATCACTTGAGAATTGAGATCCCGAAACTGTCAGGCTGGAGTCGAGCGATCGAATGCTTCACTATGGGCTGGGCTTTACCATCCATCACTATTGGGCCTTTATTTATTCTCCAGTTGATCCCCAGGATTATAGAGCTTTTGATTGAGTTTTAACGGAGACCAAATGTAATACCAAAAATTGGCAGCAATCTTTGGTTTTTTTTCCTCTACATTGGTTGTTAATTGTTATCATGATCGGATAATGGAGAATGCGCCCATTTCAATACTGATAATTCTGGAGTCTGAAGGTCTTATTAGTTGTTATCATAAGGAGCGCATGAATCAACAATATATCTCAAATTTCTCATCTTACCCTCCTAAACCAAGAGAAGTTTCTCCATAGGGCATTACACTGTGACATTTGGAACAAACAACGCACACAAAAACATAAACAGATGGTTACTTATACGAAGATCCTAGAGAGGGAGTCATCCCATCTTCCTCTGCCTGAGAAATCTAGCGATTGGAGGCGTCAACGCCATGGTGATGGGCACCCTGATCGGGAAGAGCGCCTTGTTGCAGAGAACCGCCAGCGCTAGGGCTCCGCCGGCCGATTTGGCGAGCTGTTTGGTCTTGTTGTCGCTCGTACGCGAAGCCTCTAGTTCCGGATCCAGATCCAAATCCAAATCGAGGCTAGGGTGAGGCTTGTCCTTGGAGAACCAAGGGATTTGGTACTTGTCCAAGAGCGACTCCACATCGACGTTGTTCTTGATGGCGATGTAGAATCCACTAATCGAGACGCCTGAGACGGAGAAATGGACTCCCAGCGCCACTTTTCCGTACTTCTTCACAAATTCTTTAAGCCGAGTCGTCATCGAAACCCAAAACCCAAACCGACACTTCCCCTCTCTCTTCCAGATCACGGATCAAAGGGTATTTTGCCTTGTCAACTTAGGGTTTATCTTTGAAACCCCTCTTGGGCCATTTGGTCTCCGCCTTTTTTAGCCCGTTCAAAAGCCTGTTGGGCCTCACAACAATGCCTACTATTATTAGGTTGGTTGGTAGCGGAATGATTGATTGATCCTTTTTTTGGTCGTTTAATTTTTGATGAATAGTTTTGTCGCCCAAAGATTTGTGAAAAAGAAAGGTTGCCAGAATTGACCAAGTCAGTCTGAGTGGGCAGCTCCAGTTGGACTGACATCAATTATGCAATATTTTGAGGTGATTGTCATTTGTCATTGTCAGGTTATTAACTACCAAACTGGTTCCATATCTATATGTTAAGAGTAGAATAGTTAGACCTCTGTCTTCTCTGAATCTCCTGCAGCACTTCATCACAAAACTCCGAATTCTTTATCCACTTTGCTTAAGAATTTTCACGCAGGTTACAAAGCAAATCCGAGGATGGATTTCTTCAATTCAAAGAGAGATCACAAGTATGGCAAAAGAGCAGGTCAGTTTTTGGTTCCTTGCTTAAGAAGATAGATAGATGTATTAACCGGATTAGATTATGAATATGAAGTAAGTGGTGTGCGTCTGTCTCCAATCTCCAATCTCCAGGACTGTTTGGTCACAAAAGTGCGAGCAAGAGCAACCCTTCGAGCCCTCCTCATCCCACCGAGGGTCGGTCTCCGCCAGTGTCTTTTTTTGGCATAAAAAGATCGGAATCAGAGTACGCTTTCCCCATCTCCGATGACCATACCACTCACTGGAAACAACAGCAAGCCTCCGAACGTGTCCCCAGTTCCCACCATCGCCCTCCGGTCTACAGATATAGCACCGTAGTTACTACTACTAGTACTACTAACTCTTTCTCTTTCATTTTATCATATGGTTTCTGTCTTTTTGATCCTTGTTTCCAAACTCCCAGCCCGAGCGTCCTAGAGATGATGGTAATGGTAAAGAAAGAAGAGAGGGCATGTCTTATGATCCTGATGCCGACGTGACCCCGAGGAGCAACGCCTCTTTGAGCCCCTTTCGATCTACCAGAACCCGCACGGTACTCACTCCTCACTCCTCACTCCGCACTCTCATCTCTGGTTTTGGCATTCTGCTGATTCGGTTTCGTATTGTTTTTGGTCTGGGAGTGCAGCCTGATCGCCGTAGGAGGTCTTCCGACTTTAGCAGAGAGCTGTACGAGAGAATGTATGAGGCAGAGGCCAGTGTGAGCCCATTTCACCCCTCCAGAAGCCGCTCTCCAGCTCCACACAACAAGACGGTACTGATTCTGGATCTTTGCGTTTTTACACTCAGAACCAAAACCACATCTCTTTCTACTTTCTACTTTCTACTTGCAGCAGCGTGATCATGATCGAGGGAGAGACTATAGTAGAGAAAGGTATGAGGCAGAGGGCAATGTAACTTCAAGCCCGTTTCGTCCATCCAGAAGCCGCTCTCCATCGCCACACACAGAGGTGGGTACCCGTAAGCCAGACTCTCCTTATAACGCCTTTGTTAACCATTCGCAGATTTTGTTCTTGTTAGTTTCAGCCTCGGAGATACGGCAACCGGAAAGATCATTTTGAGGGCATGTACGAGGCAGATGCAGACGTGACACCGCGTAACAGCCCTCCCATGAGTCCTGTCCAAGGAGCAACTCCACCACCACCATTCTACTCATCCAGCGATGACGAAGACAACCACTCCACCTACCTCTTCCCAGAGATTGCTGCTGGTTATCGTTCCAGGGGCGTCTCCGGGAGCAGCACGGTGCAGTCTTTTTTCTTTCTCATCCTTTTACCAAAACAGTGTATGAAGAAATGCTTTTTAAACTCCAAATGCCTTATTGCAGCCGGTTCACTACAAGTACCAGATTACCGCGGCCGAGACCTACGAGCAAGACGGGCAGTTCGAGCCGCCGGAGCTGGCGGACGAGTCTGTGAGCTTCTCGCTCCAGGAGATCGCCAAAATGCGCGGACTCGAGAGCTTCGAGGCCAGCAAGGAAGAGATGCAGTCGGCTTACGTCTCCGTGGCCAATTACAAGGTGCGGCAGAGCGTCTCCGCCACGCTCAAGGCGATCCTCGACAAACACGGAGACATCGCCGCCTCCTCGAAGCTGCAATCCACGTCAACAAGGTCGTTTTACCTGGAATCCTTAGCCGGAGCAGTGATGGAGCTGAAATCGACGGCGCTGAGGGATCTGACGAAGACGCGCGTGGCGGAGATAGAGGCGGTGGTCAAGGACATGGATTCGGTCAAAATAGACGTATCGTGGCTCAAAACAGCAGTCAAGGAGCTCGCGGAGGCAGTGGAATGCTTCGGGCAGTACGAATTGGCGAAGATGGAGAAAGAGGAGTGCAATAATGGTATGACAGAGGGGAAAGCGGAGATGGAGGAGCTGAGAGAGGAGCTGAGGAAGAGAGAGAAGGAGACCAAGGAGTGTAGAGAGAGAGTGACGGCGATGGCGGGTAGGCTGGGGAAGCTAGAGATGAAGGAATCGCGAGTGAAGAAGAATCTGGAGCTGTACCAGGGCAAGGTCGCTAAATTCGACGGCGAAGCTGTTCTTGTCGAGGTCTAAATCGATTACGAGGAGCAAATCACTACCATGAAATACAATAATGAGCGTATCGTATACTTTGAAATCAGATATATACGAATTGATTTGGTACGAACGACAACTTAATGGGCTAAATGGGCTATGGGATGAGAATAAGAGAGCAAATTTTTTGAAAGCCCAAGAAGAAATGAATGCGACGGACCTTTCTTTGCCAAATTACAGTACATGCATTAGCATTTTCTTCCTCTAATCGGAAAATATCAACTTTACCTTATTTGTTCCTTAATCATAAGCTCATAACAAACCCATATATGTTCAAATAATAAAGTTGAAATCTGAAAATTGAAGTTTCGTGGGTTTCAATCTTTGATTCTTCTTCTGCTTAGACCTCTTCAGTCCATTGTACTTTGACCAGAAATCTTTATACAATCTAACTTTTTTTTTTTTTTTAAGAAATGGCGAATTGACGAAGTCACCAGGCTGAAACTTTTTTTAGGATTTTAGTGGCAGTCAAAGTCAACGAAGCTGCAGAATAATACAAGGAACCACCCAATCAATCCATAGATATTAATGATACTACTAGAGTATGTATATATATACACACACAACGTTCTTTCTCTTTATCTCTATCTACAAGTCTCTAAGATAAATAATCATTCATTTCTTCTTCAGTAACTCTCAGGTATCAATCCATCCATCCATCTATCTCTCAGTTGACCCATTTCTTTACTTATACACTTGCATGTAATATCAGTATATATGTGATCTTTCACCAAAACATTTTTGATTGTCTTGTGGCCTGGAAACACACATGTTTTGCAACAGATGAACATCACAGTCGATCTGAAATATTGTTGTTGTTTCATGTTTGAGTCCCACTCATGGAAGATGGTCAATCCCCTGTCCATGTATAAACATAATTAAGAGAAAGAAAAACATCAATCATTATCTGTAAATTTGCACCATATACTATATCAATCATTTTCATGTTGACTCCCTCCTCTGGCGGGTGTCGTCTCCTTTTTCAATGGATCTGACGACCACTTTTTCTTTTCTTTTATCTTTTGGTTCCGTATAATTAGTTAAAGAGATCTTATAGAGTGTTGCATTTTTTCAAGTTTGTGAGATGGAATTGGTGTCTGGAAAAGTAGTTCCAGGTTGCTCCAACGCAGACAATCCTTTTCATGAGTGTACTTCTCTCTGTATCCAGAGATTAAACTCCGGAAATGTCCAAAAGAAGGAGAAGAAACTCTTTGGTATGAATATATATATTTTATTCTGTTTACTTATTGAGTCAAACTTGTTGTGTCATCAAGAATTCTGTAAACATGTTTATGTGTCAGGTTTTGGTAAGAGAACTCCAAGCAGGGACACGCCTCCAGGCAGTCCCGCTACTGGAAGCAGATCACCTCTGCACAGCTACTTCGCCAAGAAGAAGGTTGAACCAGAGAATTCACCTTCCTCCAATGAGCACACCAATGGGATCTTCTTCAGCCATCTTTCCCTGCTAAATGGACCCCCGTCCCAACTCAAGAAGGAGCCTGCAAACAATGTGGAATCGCTCCTCATGTCGCCTTCTCTGGCTGGATATTCAGGGGGAGACTATTTTCCAAGAAGGGTAAGGTTCATTCTTGTCAAGAATTAGCTAGGCCTCTCTCTCGCTCTCTCTCTCTCTCGTTTGTTTCCTTGAGACTCACTCATATGTTGGTATTCCTGCCAGACTGATCAGCGTGGAGGTGAGGATGATGACATGTCACCAAGGCCCTTGGGAGCTCAGCCTAAGACCCCTGAACACCCTCTAAGGACTCCTCAGCATATGCCCCGCACACCTCAACACCGCTCTGATAATAGACCATGGCTGCACCAAGATGACCATTCTTCACTAGCAACTAGGCCTAGGACTCCTCAACGACGGTCCAACAACTCTGATACTAGGCCGAGGACTAGGCCCATGACCCCAGAGCCTCGGCCTACCTACTTTGAACCATTGTCAACAACTCCAAAACTGCGGTCCAAGACGCCTGAGCCCAGTCCTAGGATCCCACAAACTCAGCCCATATCCCACAGATCCCTTGACAGTGTTGATCTTCCAACAGTTGAAACAAGGCCAAGAATACATGAAAGCAGGCTGAATAATGCGGTCTATAGAGAAAGGTCACCTGGTCACAGAGAAAATAACTCACAAACATCCTTTAAAATGGGTCAGATATCATCTCATCAAGCCTACAAATATCTTGGGAACAAAGCTGAATCGGTCTACCTTGACAAGGACGATGAATCAGTTGTTCTCTATCCAGAACTTATTTTATCACCTCAAGAGAGGCCACACTCTAAACCCATTACGGTACAGAGATCTCTACCTTTTCACTACAATATATCTTCATATTTCAGCACATGATAATGACAGTTTTGGCGTCTTACCTCAGCCTAGTCGCCGCGGATATGAAACACCCTCAAAACAGGAAGAACATTTTGATCAACTGGATGAGTTAGCAAGCTCAGATGATGATACATTTTCATTTGTGGATGATCACGACTATAACTCTTTACGGTTTTATCCTGAAATCACACCGAAATCTGGAAGCAACACGGTATGTATATCTTTCATGTACATTTCACAAATGTTCAGCAATCAGCAAAGAGCTGGTATTGACACAAATGTTCTTGTATATGGTTTCTTGCAGCCCATTCATCACAAATCCGGTAAATCACGGAGCGAACAAGATACGCAAAACAAGCAGCCTCCAGATGAATCAGAAGACTTCAGTCTCTCAGAAATCTCCCGCATGAAAGGAATAATAGTTAAGAAGAATGTAACAAGGGACGAGAAGACGTCCATTCTATCTGAGTCTTACGTTTCGGTGGGAGACTACAAGGTCAGAGCGAGCGTGTCGGCCACTCTTGAGCTCATCCTCGAAAAGCACGGTGACATTGCATCCGCTTCGAAGCTACATTCGCTTGCCACGCGATCCTACTACCTCGACCTGCTTGCCTCCGTGGTCCTCGAACTCCAGAGCACACCCCTGAAGCATCTCAAGGAGAGCCGCGTGGCGGAAATGCTAGCGATTGTTAAAGATGTTGAGTCCGTGAAAATCAAAGCAAGTTGGCTTAAGCCCGTCCTCGAGGAAATAGTCGAGGCGGTGAAGCATTACGATCAGCACAAGATGAGCATAACTGAGAAGGAGGTGTGGGAGGGGGATGTGTTGCTTGCGAGACAAGAAATGGAGAAACAGTGGAAAGAGCTGAGGGAGAAGGAGAAGAAGTTGAAGGAGTTGAGAGAGAGAATGACGGAGATGGCTGGGAAGATGGGTAAACTCGATATGAGAAGAGCCAGGCTCGACAACAGCTTGGCCTTTCTGAGTTCCAAGGTCGACAAATTTCAGGGAAAATCTCTTCTTCAAGGCATCCTGTGAGTTGTGAGTCTGTGACCAACCAATTTATCGTCTCCAGATTTTTTTTGTTTAACATGTTATGATTGACAAGACAACCTCCTGCATAATGCTCTTCATAAAAACTCTTTTAGGATAGTAATGCTCTGTTTTTATATACACCGAGATGGAACAAAGAAGGTAAGACAATATACACAATTAATATTAGACCGTTCGTGAGATATGTAGCGTGATTGAGTGAGTCAAAGTGATTCAGTTTCCTTACTCTTACATGTATAGAATCTACAGTTTTCATATCTAATTCACAAAATCTAGACAGCGGTGTACGTGTGTTATCTGTTTTTTTTGGGAAAGCTGATATAATATTATCAAACTTTGTTATAAAAATATATCTAGAAAAACCCCAAATCCTATATTCTAAAATCCCAAATTTATAGGAGTAAGGTTAGGTAGGATTCTTCTAGATCTTGGAACTTTTTTTTGCTCGTAATATATATTTGTATCCCAAATTTATACCCACATAACAAGAGAAAACAGAGAAGTACTCTTTTAGTTACAATGCTAGAGATGAATAGTGTGGAAGGAGATGAGAGGAGAATGGTAACAAATGGTTTGTTTTGGGCAGAGCGTTTGCTTCTCCTTCTACTTGTCGTCTTCCCCACATACGTCGTAGATCTCATCCTCTTTCTCACTTTATCCACTACTCTTTTCGCATTAACCTTCTTCTTCTACTGTCCTAAACTCTCTTCCGTTGGAGTCTCTGTAAGTCTACATATAATTATCTCTTCTTAACTAATAGTTAGTACAATATAATGAAGACTCTGTCACATGTTGATCTGTTTGATTAGGGTATGGGAGGATTCTGGCTGTTTCTATTGGACCGCTCCACGTTTTACCTAGGCCTTGAGTATTCTAAACTATTGGCTCAAGGCTTTGAAATTGCCTTCCTTTGGCGTTTCACTGTTTTTCTCTCTGTCGTGGTCCACTCCGTCTACATCGTCGACCACCTCCTTAGAA